GTTATGAATTGCTGTATTAAGGTACAATGATGGCCTTTTGGATATATGTTTATATGGACATTTTAGCTTGTTTTGGTGTCGGGAATCCATCCCCAAAGTTTGTAAAAGTATTTTTGGATTATATATTTAACAGTATCTACCGTAAACTTTAAGCGAAATAACTCAAAAATGAAGTTTGCAGATATTTGTTTATTTGGACTTTTGTCCTTGTTTTGGTGTGAGGAATCTATCCCCAAAGTTTGTAAAAGTATTTTTGATACACTGTGTATTAAAATGTATCTTATATATTTATAAGTCTACTATGCTTTGAATATTGCTGCCAAATCTAGTCTGGTATTCCCACTATATATTTAACACTAGAACATTAACCATGGGTATATAGTACCCAGCACAAATTTTCCTATTTTTAATTACAATTTTCAGTACCTGATTTTCTTACCTAAATAATGTTTTTCAGTTCCTATTAATGCTAACACAAAGTACAAAGTTTGAAGTGCCTGCATGTAAAATATTTCCAATAAAGATTTATATTTAATATTTTTTTTTTTTTGATATTTTCAAAATCGGGTATGATATACCCATGGTTAGTAGTGGTGTAACTTTAATTGATGGTTAGTGTTCTAGGGTTAAATATTTTTCATAAAACCCAAAGAAGAAACTGCAATGTTATTGGTCCTTCACATTGCTGTAATGTAGTATCCCTGTGCCATTTCTATAAATACTTTCATGGTAATTATTCTCAGGAATCTTCCTATATAGTACCAAGACTATGAATTTAAGTGCAGTACTAAATTGGCAGCTAGGTCTCATCATTTTACAGTTAAGTTTTCTCTATAGCACTTTTCACTTACAGAACTCTCCCAGCTTCTTAGTCAAGTTTGAGGTTCAAAAATTTAAATGTAATGTCAATCATTATCTTAATTCTTGTTCTTTTATTGTCCTCTCTTTAATGTTATATTTTTCTCATATTCTCTAACACTCAGTAACCCTTGGCGTCTTTATGGCTTTATTGCCTTGCTTAGGAGGGGGAATGAATATAAAAAAAACATTATGGTCAATTTCATTTATCAGTAACTCTTTCACTAAGCAACCATTAACTGTTCATTTCTTGCTCGCTTAAAGGAGTTAGAAATTAATGGATTGGGGAGAGGGGAATATCTGGTTCTAGGGATACAGATAACTATGGCTCTCCATAATTTCCTTTTTCTTTGAAAATCCAAAGTGATTGTTCTTTGGAAAAGATAGTCAGTAGTTTCCCATTGCCTTCTCTAGTTTTTAATTCAGTTTTCCTTCTTCTAGACTGGGTGCCAACCAAGGCTAGAGATCCCAGTCTTCTTTTGGGAGAAAAGGGATGGTTTCATGCCTTTCTCAAAGATATTAGTGTAAAGTGAATATTGTTTCAAGTTGAATTTGAATTCGGTTTGCAGATTCTTTTGTCCATGCTGTTAACTGCCTGGCCCTTTTCCATCTCAATTACATGATTAAGAGATTAAAAAAATGTCAGCCATTCATGTCAAGTAAGCTTTAATTACTTGAGAAATTATAGAAGGAAAGTTTTCAATGTTATAAAATAATTAGAACAAGCATAAAAGCTGTAGTAAATTCCTTGCTCATGATTGCAAAGGTGATGAAAAGAGAGACAGGTTACGAAATGAAAAGGGTGAAAAAAAAAAGAAAAAAAAAAAAAAAATTCTTGACCCAACCAAGAAGGGAAAAAAAAGAAAAAGAAAATGTTTGATCAGATTTTTAGGGAAGCAAAAGTTAAGGCTTTCTATGAAAATACAACAAATATTCCAAAGTGTGTTACAGACATTTCCTCCATATTTCAATTATAAGGAGTAAGTTCCACTCAGCTCCTCACAACACTACAATTTTAACCTCTTCAGGTCAACTGTTGTCTATCCTTCTTATTTTCATAATCTTTATTTCTTTCTAAATTACCTCTTATATTCAGCAATCCTCTGCCACGTGTGGCTCTTGAGCCTTACATTAGATGAAATTTAGTAAACAAAAAAAAAAAAAACCCACCAATTTTAAGGTATGACTAAGATATAGAACAATAAACTTCAACTACAGATTTTAAAACCAAAAACGAGATTGATTGTGTTTCAAGGTTTACCAACCTTTTTAGGTTATTTAAAGCCCGAGTGAAAATATTTTTAGAGATTGTAAACTTTTACAGGATAATAATTCTTACTGATACAAGTTCAAATTAACGGGGGAGAAGAGGTAGATACCTACCATTCCCAAGACATTTGCATGCGAGTGAATATAACAAACCCAATTGAAATTTGAACTGGTTTCTCCAATTCTGAGCAGTTATCCATTTACACTATTTGCACATCCAAGCTTATAGCACCTGGTATTACCAAACAGGAGGTTGCTTAACTTTGATGATTGCACAAGAACCCAAGTTTCAGCATCCAAAAACAAAGTCTTTTACTAAAACAACATCTGCAATGGAAAAAAGCTGATGTATCGTAGTTTGACTGAACAGAGTTTGAATTCCAATAGAGAATTTATTACATACACTAAGACTTATCATGCAAATAAGTTTCTTTGGAAATGTATGAATCCACCTTTTCTTACGGCTGTGGGTTAAATAGTAGAGAAGACCGGATTCTTCAGCCTTAGTTGGCAACCTGCCTAGGAGTAGGACAAATAAAAATTTGAATTCAAACCATGGGGCTCTAGTAACTCCATTCTAATATATAACAAAGAAAAAAAAAACAAACATTTGCTACACGAATCAGAGGGGTGGGGCAGTGGTCCCATACTCGTTAATGAAATTAAATCTGTGGATCAAGAAAGGCAAAGTATGACCTAATAGCAGCAAAGAAGAAAGACAAACGGAATATGTCATTCAAAATGAGATGTTCCAGAGTTAAAGGCATGAAGTAGCAGTCAGAGTTTATATTACATACAGAAAAGTTTTTACAGGCTGAAATGTGAAAATGTTTTGGGTGTGATATTGACGTGAAAAAAAAAAAAAAAAAAAATAATAATTCAGTTAAGAAAAATTTAATTAGTGAAAAAATTTTTTAAAAACATTCAGTAAAATTATGAACAATTATAACGGTATAATTTATTTTTAGCGATTTTATTTTGTTCAAACAAAATTAATAATAATATCACCATCATAATTATTAAAAGAAGAACCAATAGTATTTCAAAAAATTAAAATAATTTTTAGTTAAAATTTCAAAAAGAGTTAACTGAATCCGATATAAACGTTTTTAATTTCAAATAAAATATCTGAAATTGAACAAGATACCATGACATGGTCAACTTTTTATCTTTAATTCAATTAAAAAGTTTTATTGACTACTTTGTACGACATCAGTATTCTTTTACTTAATTTAATTTTTACTTCTTTCCTTTTTAATTTTGTAGATATAGAAACGAATCTCTCTAGAAAGATGCTTAAATTAAGTCAAATTTTTAATTTTTTTTTTTGTTGGACAGTCAAAAACGAGATAAAAATCATTCAATTTAAAAATAAAATATAAATTAAATTATTATTTTCTAACAAAAATATTTCACAGTCAATTCTGTTCAGGCAACTACTGGTAAACTAAACACCAAAACAAATGAAAAGTAGATAATATACTTTCTAGATTTTAAAAACTACAATAAAATCGGATGAAAAATATAGGAATTTATAATTCATTTTTAAATTGTTCTCGTAAACTTTAAAATATTAAACAAAAAAGAAAAGATGATTAATATGGCAAACAAAGCAATTCAATGATTTTAAAAAGGAAGTTAGGATCATCCCTTATGACAGGACTACAATATTTTATTTTTGAAAGGACTTATCTGTTAAAACTTTACATTTACAGTACATCCTCGAGATAACCTAATTTGGAAGGATTTTTTTGTATCTACTCTACTGTGTAAGACAGGTTTTTTTTATCTAATTTGATTTCAAATTATTTTCACAATTTGAGGAAGTGAGTAAAAATTTAAAACGATTGTAAAAATTAAGCACAATATACACGCAAATTAAACCAAAAAATAATATCTGTTGTAAGTTTAATTTAAAGAAATATATAGAGTTTAAATAAAATAAAAACTTTAAGGTTCTTTTAATGATGATCTAGAAGAGGTTTGTCCCACAAGAAATGACAGACAACCCTAATTTACGTTTATTGTAAACCGAAAAGAAAAACGGTATATCCTATTTATTCGTTTTTCACAAACGTATATTGATTTAACAAATCTCATGTAATGCTCACTAATCTTTGATTACCCAAGGGGGTGTGTAATTTACTCGTAGGAGACCAAAGTCGAAGAGATCAGAGTTAGCAACAATGACACCCACAACTAAAGCCACCCTCCCCAATAACTTTTTCCAGTGTTTTGGTAGCATGAAACACGTGCACCTAAGTGACGAGAGAAAAAAAAATTATATATGTTGATCTATAAGAGATCATTTATTTATTATGCCAGGTTTAACAATATCAAGGGATTTTCGCGGATTTTTTCCATCCCCATTTGAAAACAAACTTATGTGATGGGACGAATTTTTAAAAAGTGGGTGTACCTTCTCGACCCATAGATCATCAGTGGGTAAACGATAGAAGACTTGAATATGCAGACCATCGAAAAAAAAAAAAAAAAAAAGAAGCCACATCATCTCTTTTTATTGATGTACAGAGCAGTTTTTAAGCAGATCTCGAAAGAAGGAGAAAATCCAAATGTCTAGTTTCGTTTTTTTTTCCTTTTCTAAGTGAAAAAAAAAATGATACATGATGAAAAAGTGAAAAGAAAAAAAATGCTGCAAAGATCAGCAATCGTGAAGATATATGAAATATTTCTATCACAAATATAAGGAAACGGATAATAAATTTAGAAATTATTATCCCAGTCCCTGAACTATAAATACTAAACATTGTCTTCAGTCATCAAAGCTAATGCCATTGCCACATTAAAACCACAACACATGGTTGGAAGATGATAATTAAAAATACAACTGACGACGGACAAAACTTTCTTACCTGCTGAGTTGCCAATTCAAAGACACTACTCACAATAGAAGCACTATCACTAGCCATTACCGGAGCCAGTTGCATCTATATCTACTCCCATGATTGTTTCACCTGGCCTAATGAATTGTTAGCACCAAGACGGCAACTACTACAGGACACAGCCACCATATTTGTTATTATAGCAGATCACATGACCTCAAAGAGGAGGGGGCGGCATCATTAACAACAACATCAACAACAATTAAACATAAAAATCATCACAACAAAAATATAAACAATAACTTAAATATAACTCTAATTTAACTATAATGATAATATATCACTTTATTAAGATTATTAATTATTTTTGCTACTAAAAAATGTATTAGCAAGGACGAGGAGTGGTGTAAGTGCAAATATTACTGATACTGCTACACCAGACAACAACTACAAGTAACATCACTATAAAAATTGATTTATTAAAACGTATTGAAAATGAGAAAAAAATTTTTTTAAATCCTTCAACTATATAATTTTACATTTTTTGAAACTTGACTCTCTTGAATTTGCTGCGTTACAAATAAATTCCACTTCCTTTTTAGCTGCATTTTGACCGAATTTAAGTTTGACGTCACTTCCGATTTAGATTGCATGTGATGTGAGTCGTGTTTTGGTGATTTTTGGAGCCGCATACCGGATTTTTGTAAAGGTAGAAAAAAGTTTTTACAATTTAAGATTGAATTTTCGCATACCTATGAATGTAAGTGAGTGTTCAGTCTACATTGATTTTATTTTTTCATATCGGATATTTATATTGTCCCTATGTCACCCCTTTTAAATTATTGAGGTATGTTGCATAGGTACCCGGAACCCACAGGTGGTCATGAAATGGGGGTTCTATTATTAATATTTTCTCCGTAATCACTATTTAACTAATTTAAGTTACCAAAGTTTTATTTAATAAAAGAAAGATTGAATATAGATAGTAAGCGAGTTTTACTAGTTATCAATATTATCCTTTTTTTTCACGAAAACTTAGGTTTACTACGACGTTTTCTCGAAAGTTTTTCTTGGGTGTTGTTTTTGTGGGGTAGTCATGAAAATATAGTTGTTTTTTTTCTAAAAAAGAAAAGAAAAGGAACCAGTAATAATCACCTTTTATTCCCCCCTCTTAAATTACGTGAATAAACAAAAGGCCAAAGTCTTTTGTTTAAACTTTACCCTGTGTCTCGGTGTGTACTGTATACCAACCACCCACCATCCAGAAAAATGATCTTGAATGTTTTTTTTTTTCTTTAAAACTTTTCTAAGCTAGTTTAAAACTCAAAAAGTAATGATTGAAACAAAAAAATGAATGTTTACTTTATTATATAAAAACAGTCGTTGCTTAAAATCATTTTCAAATAAAAGCTGACATATGTAGTTTTACATAAAGCTTGTAGATAAAAAATAATAATTAAAGAGAGACTAGTCATCTGACTAAAAAAAAAAACACCAAAACTAAAACACTTTTTAGTAAACTGTAAACAGAATGGATGTTAGTCTTTGTTTTGTTTTGCGTAATTTGAGATTTTGATCTTTGTGTTGATGAATACACAAAAAAATATTTCGAAACCTAACAATTTTTTTTAATGCTTCCTTGTTTTGAATTGGGATTTTTTTTTTTACTGAATTTTTAATAGAAATGATGCGATAATAATACTTCTTTTTCTTGCAGATGTCTATGATTTCAAAAATGAACCAAGTTGGAAAACTAAAAAAAATAAAAAATACCTTGTTATTTTTTCCTAGAAAGTAATTTTACAATTGATTTGCTTCTAAAAACAAATTTCCATTTATTTTATTAGTTAAAAAAAAAAAACTAGAGACATTTTCTTTTGTTTGTAAGACATTTTTTTTACTTACAGTCTCAACTTATCAAGAATGTTGTCGTGGATATGATGTACACATATTTATTCAGTTTACCAAATAAGAATGAGGTGGGGAAAAAAAAAGAAAACAAATCAGAATTAAAAAAAAAAAAAAGATTTTTTAAGATTATTAGTCAAATGTTTCAAACCATTTTTGAATACTAGACGTTGACTAATCTCCCTTACATTCCCCTTAAACTTTGAAGTTCAAAGTTTGAACTAACCTGGTATACGGAATCTTTTTAAGTCCTGCATCAGAAATAAAATTAAAAATAATCTCCAAAAAATTTTTTAAAAATGTCTAGAAAAATTTTTTTTTTTTTTTTTTTTTTCCAAAATGTTTCATATTACTCTAGTGTAGTTCACGAATAAAAAATATTAATGGGCGGGGTTCAGTTTGCCAAAATTAAAACAAATATGCTCATACGACGTGAATTTTTAAAGATTAATTAAAATTTAAAATGTAAAAACAAAAAAAAGAAAGTTGTAATATCTGGAGTGCTTAATTAATCACTTTATGAAAAAGAGCTCCAGATTATGAATAAATCAATGGTATGATCAGATTTTGTTTTGGCTTCCGTTGGAAGATCAATTTACAGTACACGATGAAATGAATGTACATAGCAAATTTACTCCCCCCCCCCCAATTCATTTTATAAAATTGAATAATCTTTTTATATTCGTAATCTGGAGTGTTTATATAGTGTTATATATAAATTTGACGAAAATAATTATTTCTGGTTGCAGTGTCTATATTTTTTTTTTGTTGTTGTTGTAAACATAAAAATTGAAATTTTATCTCCATAAAGAAAGATACATGGATATTTCATTTTACATGGGAAGATATTTGAAGTTGTAGCGGACCGTTGTGGTGATGAGTATGTATTGTAGAAGAACACCTGTGAGTTAAAATTTCCTACTAGCTGGTCCAACTACATGAGAAAGTTGGACTTTAATTAAGTCCAAAGAAAACAAACAAGACCGATAAATATATGTAAACAAATATATGTATTAACAACAAGTACAAATTACAAGTACATGGACAGTTACATTGAGTGTGTGTGGCGAATATTGTGTGTTTTGTGGTGAGTGTTCATATGTATGTGTATTGTTCTTAGTGTGTTCCCAGAATTTGGGAAACGCTGTATCTGTGAGAGCTCACATCTGCGAGGTGGTATAAGGCTGAAAGCCTGAGGCAAAAAGAGGTCGAGGCGAAGGGTCAGCCAGTATTTATAGCCAGGGGAGAGAGACTCCTGGTGAAGGGTTAAGGAGCTGAGGAGGAGCTAACTCCAACAAAGTTAATAAGATTACAGAAGCAGAGAAAAACATTTTGTAATGTAGCCTCCCTCAGCCTTTTCTCTAAATATTTTCATAATTGTTCTGAGTTTTCCTCTTTACTACCTTGACTTTGCAAATTTAAGTGTTAGGTCTCATCATTTACAGCTGAAATGACTATATGTAACCATAATTTATATGCTAACAGTTTCTTCTCTTGCACTTTTTGCTTGTGGAAATCTCTTCCTAGCTTTGTGCTTCCTAGTCAACTTTGATCTTCAAAAATTTAAATGCAACATCAGTTGCTATTTTCTGTCTTCATAATTCCCATTCTTTTATTGTTCTCTCTCCTTAATGGTTTCTTTTTTTCATATTCTTTCACGCTCGTAAACTCTTGAATCTTAGTGGCTTTATTGCCATGCTAACGGTGAAATTAAAGTGATAAATAAAATTATCCTGTTGACAGATTACTGTTTAAAACTTGCAGATGTTAATAACTAACTTTATCTTATTTTAAATCATTTAGTACTGGATTATACAAAACTGTGGATAAGTAAATTTCTTGATCATGTCTATATAAACATTTCTTTTTTCTTTTAACAACTTAAAAAAAAATATCTGCTGTAGAATTGGATGGTTTAAAGCAGTGGTTCCAAAACAGTGTGGTGCACTTCATAGGTGTGGCAGAAGAGGATAGCAGGTGAAGTGGAATGATTGAAAGACAATCAAAGATTTAGAAACAGTTTCCAAAAGTTCATATGCCAAAAATAAATATGATTTCAAAATTTAAAATATTGTTATGGATTACTTGTAATTACGTGCATGAGTCCCAGTATAAATAGTTATAAATAATTATTGACTGACTTTATTATTGTGATATTTTTGCATCATATCAAGTAATGAGAATATAGTAACTAGGGTCTAAAAATTGGAGGAAGGAGTTATCAATGATAATGTCCTGACTGCAAATCCACAGTTATCTCTCCTTAACCCTCTGTTTTTTATTTTTATCACATAAAATTTGAGGTATGAGCAAATTTTCATTCCGAAAATGTGGCCCAGAGGGGATAAACAGTTTTTGAACCACTGATTTAATGTCAAAATGTGTTGGTTGCTTATAGAATCCTGTCCTGTTATAAACTACTCACTCTCCTAAAAAAAAACCAAAAGTATGGGTATCCTAATGAGTAGTAGATAATCCAATAAAACATTCAGTTTTCCTCCATCTTGTGATATAGTAACACTCATACCAGTGCATCATCTGTGTCTGAACTTTAGACAGTGACATATGCTGTGATGAAATTCCAATATCAGCAGGTGTTGTCACAAAGTTGCACAGGTGCTTCTTATATTCAACAAGAACTATTTGAAGGGTGTCAGATTATGGGACATTGAGAAGCTGGATATTCATTTTGGAGAATTGCTGCTCATGTTGAATATAGTGGTCAAGTGAATAGTCATACATATATAGACCAGGTTCTGGATGACCCTGTATAAAATTCTAGAAGAGTCCAATACATTGTAAAGGCAGTATTATGGGACTGCATTGCATCAGCAACAGGCATTAGGGGTATGTGCACCTTTACTCAGATTTCCCCCTTACATCACTATGCTATTATGCATGCCTTCATTGAGAGCACCCCTAGGCGATCACTCAGGAGTATTTATTGATGAGAGCAGGTTCTGATGTCATCCAATTAAAGGTTGCTTGTGTGTGCAGTGTATAATTGTATTGTTAAATTATCTAACGTGTATTCATTTATGTCACACAGGCTAAATGCTTTGTATCATGTTGTGGAGAGAGGTGCCATAAATTAGTTTTTACTTGCCTTTTGTGTTTGTGGAAGAAACCATACAATACATATTCAGAAAATTATTCAACCCATTCTGCTTCTGTTCTTG